TCCCCTTCACCGCACGAAGGCAAAGCTATGGCGCTTGGGGCTGGTGGGTTTACCCTCCCCCGCCTCGGAGCAAAGGGCTCGCTCAGAGCTGCAAAGCAAAGCTGCTTCTTTATGGCCCTTTGCCGATTTGTTCCGACCCCTCCAAGCTCACAGCTGGGCAGGTTCGCTCTGCACGAAGAATGCAACCCCCACCTCCTCCTGCCAGCAGGCTGCAAACCTCTCTGCTTAGGGCCGCCCTGTCTGGAGGCTAACGAGCCGACTCCGCACTAGGGCCCGAAATATCTGTGAGGATCTGAGAAATGGCAGGTCCCTGCCCGGCCCTTCTTACAGCGCAGGTCGGGGGTCATGTTCCCTGCTCCTGATTTGCATATTGAAATGACTGCTGTGCTGTGCTGATGCTTTCCTGACGAGGGGCTGATTTTGGAGAGATGCTTAATGGCCAAGCTGGCCGCTGCTGTGCACCCCCAATTTGCCTCTCCTCAGGGCCGTTCCCAGCTCAGGGAATGTCGCAGATCCCCCAGGGAATCGCTGGCAAACCTGTTTCCTTGACTTTTCCCCCCTAACCCTGGCAGCCGAGTGAGTTGCTGTGCAAAGCCACGTGGCTTGTTTTAACCCGCGCAGTGGGCCCCGGGTTGTCAGCGGCTCATTCAAACTGGCATCTGAAAGCTGCCAGATTACGTCCGTTTCATTTCCTCTTTGGTGAATTGGACTTGGAGGCAGGCAAATTAAAACCTAAGTGTTAAAATCAGGAGCCAAAGGATTCAGGTTCATTATGCCCCCTCCCCCTCACCAATGGGGAAACTGAGGCATGGATCCTTGCCCGAGGACATGCAGCAGGGGAATAGCAGAGCTGGGAAGGGCCCTGGTGTTTGCACAGCATCTGTGGGAAGGGGAGGGGGTTCCCGTGTCCGCCTGGGTCAGTGGTGATATAAATAAGCTGGTATTTCGTAGGCGTGACCTTGAGGCTTGCTCACGTGGGGCAGCAGGCGCCTGTGCGTGCGTGTCCCGTTGTCGGTCTCCAACCCTCTTTGGCACCGCGGGTGACGTCCGGAATCCTCGTGCGGATTGGGGTCACGATTCCTCTGGGAAGCTTCGTCCCGCGTCTGAACCGGGGGAGCCGGGGGCCGCCAGGCCCGGCCCCACCCCCCTGGGAGCGAGCCAGCCGCTTGCTAACGCGTGTTCTGCGGCGGG